ATTCAGTAGCCCGGTGATTAAGGCATCCGAATGGGTGACCCGAGGTCCAATCCTTCTGCTTCAGTCACTCTTTCATTATGTATTCCACAATAGAGCAGCTTCAACAGGAGAGGCTGAGGGAGCCCTATATCACACTATCCCATAGCTTAGTGCAGTGGTTTTTCAAACTGCAGGTTTTCAGTACTGGGTTGTGGAATGGAAAGCACTGGGTTGCGGCGGCTCTGGTGAGCACCACCGATTGGACCGTTAAAAGTCCCATTGGCGGTGCTGCCAGGCTAAGGCAGGCTAGTTCCTACCTGTTCTGACACCACGCTGCATGCCACAAGTGGCCAGCAGCAGGTCCAGCTCCTAGGCAGGAGAGCCATAGGGCTCCACGCGCTGCCCCCGCTCTGAGCACTGGCTCCGCACTCCCACTGGCCAGGAACCAGCCAATGGGAGCTGGGGGTGGAGGGTCGGTGCCTGCGGGCGAGAGTTGCGCGGAGCTGCTTACGTGCCTCCGCCTAGGAGTCATACCTGCTGCTGGCTGTTTCCAAGGTGCAGCGCGGTCTGCAGTGCCAGGACAGACAGGAAGCCTGCCTTAGCACCCCTGCTGCACCGCTGCCCGAGGTAAGTCCGTGCCCCAATCTCCTACCCCAGCCCTGAGCCCTGAGCCCCCCCAAGCCTGGAGCCCCTTCCTACACCTCAAACCCCTCATCCCTGACCCCACCCAAAAGCCTGCACCCCCAGCCCAGAGCCCTGACCCCCTCCCACACCCCAACCCCTGCCCCAGCCCAGAGCCTCCTCCCACACCCTGAACCACTCATTCCTGGCCCCATCCCGCCGCCCTCACCCCCGCCCCCCAACCCTCTGCCCTAGCCCTGAGCCCCTCCCACACCCAAACCCCTCATCCCCAGCTCCATTGGGTCATGGGCATTAACAATTTTCCTCAACTGGGTCACCAGAAAAAAAGTTTTAAAACCACGGCTTAGTGGTTTGGGCAAGCAACTGCGGTGTAGGAGATCCCTGTTCAAATCCTCTTCTTCCTCAGGCACAGCAGGGAATTGAAGTTGGGTCTCCTACATCCTAGGCTCTAACCTATAAGGTGGGTGGCAGCACCCCCACCAGCCATCTTGTGTGGAGTTAGGTACATGTCTAACTCATTCTTACAAGAAGTGGCTTAGGCACTTAAGTCGCTTGACTCCAGAGGAGCAGTTTGTGAATCGCTTGCAGAGATAAGTGCCTATCTCAATGAGGGGGTAGGGCTTAGGACACATCCCTCTCATTGGCATTTTCCATTGGCTAGCTTAGGTTGCGCCACCTAGCGTGTTGGCCTTTGTGAATCAGAGTGTAAGGTGCCCATCTCTCCCCATTCAATGTACAGGGAGCATAGGCTTTGTGTGTTCCAGTGATTTTTTTTCTAGGCGCCTAAGTTGGGCATTGCAACACTCAGCATCACAATGCCTCAGTGCCTTTGTGAACCTGGGCCTTTGCCCTCCCAGCCTGGGGAGTTCCCTTGGCAAATAAATATAAAAAAATATAAAGTCTTTCTTCATGGTATAATTCAGTAGTAATGTGATTTACAAAGTTTCCATTCACTTTTGTTAAGTTATTGCCGTGTGTGTGTGTATGTATAGATATTAATGTGTCAGCGTTGCTCTTTTGATCAATGTAATACCCTGTTTTTTGGCAATTAACCAGCTTGCCTCAAAAAGACATAGTCCATCAGTGAATCTTAGTGTATGAACAGTTAAGGACAGGGTTTTGGTGTGCTAGTATCTTTTGTTATCCTTTGTCTTTTTACGTTTGTGATGGCTGGTTCTGTTGCTGCTTCACTTGGAGCCTCTGTCATTATTTCCAGTTTCACTGCTATTTGCATGTGTGAGCTTTTCAAGATGAAATGACACAGATGAAATGTCCATCACATCTTTACTGTACCATATCTGCCAACATTTATAAGCTATATTTAGGGATATTGTTTTAATACCTTTGAAATACATTGGACTTTTCATAGGATGAGCTCTTGTAGGGCCACTCACTGGTCCTCCCAACTTCTCCTGGGAAATAGCACAGTCTCAGAATAAAGAGACTGCCTTGTTCTGTATTTCTGATTTTACAGAGTATTTATGGCGAAATACTAGATGAGGAGAGGAAGTAGCTACCTCATTGCACATTATGATACCAGGGACACCTCTCCTCTATACCTTCTCCTATGTTTTGGACAGAGATGTCAAGTGACCTTACATCCCTCTACAATCCCTTTCTTTTGACTAGAATACAGCAGGCCACCTCCTTTCCCCCCACCCCTCCAATTCCTGCGTCACGTACAGGAAGAAAAATAATTAAGAACTGGAGCTCTCGTTTTCAAATGCATTTTCTAAATCACTGCTTAGATCTCCAGCACTCTGTGGATTTAGACACTAACATCCAAAATCACCTTCTCGTGTTTCCAAATCAGTTCTGATAAAATTCAAAGCTTTGCCTTGCTTGGATGAAGCTAGATAAACTTAAAATTCAGACATTTCATTGAAAGGAATAGTCTGTTAATTGGTGTTGAAGTTTAAATATTTGAGTTCAATTTCTCCATCTCCCCCAAATTACATCTTGGAAATGTTCCCCTGTTATTACAGTCTATTAAATCAGACTTATCAAAAAGGAAACATTTATTGATATCTTGAGAGACGTGTATGTCTAATTAAGACTGTGTTATTGTGCATATTTTATTTTAAAGCAAACGTTTCCTGTGATTTGACTCTAATCAGGTCTGAAGGGCCTTAATAAGTATTTGGCAGATATTTTTCCTGGACTGAGGGAAGACGCACTGTATCAGTTTGTTAAATCACATTGCTAACCAACACTTCAGGAAGTTTTGACTCTGTATTTATACTGTGACTTCACTCCTGGAAATTGTGCTGCTACATCCTAAAAGGACATTCTAAATGGTAGACCAAATGTCTAGTATCCAAAGGAAGGTTGAGTATTTGTAGATACTTGTTTGGCAGCTTTGTTAGTCAGTTATTTTAGTTATCCATTGGTTATTTCAATGCCTAATTCTGCATAGGTCGTATAATTACTAAAAATCGAAGGATTCATTTTTTTTATTCCTGGTTTATCTTTTAAGGATTACTGCTATAAATAACAGACTTGACCTTTCATGAATTGATGCAAGCTTGCTCTTGCTTCCTATACTCCCTCTTTGAACAGCACTGTCATCTTTTACAATGTTCATTCTTTTCATCCAAACAGGCTATAAGATGCACAGCTACTACTGTTGGAATGAAATTCATGCGTGTGTGCAGGGCCACCAAAAGACCTATGCTCTGCCTGAGTTCTGCTTGAGGATTTATGCAGGTCTTTAGTACATAGGCCTTGTGCTGGGGTGCATGAGTACCTTTGTAAACCGTAGGCTTTATGCATAGAGGTGAATTTCACCTTTGATAAACACAGAAGTTTTTGCAAACTATATTGTAATTATGTGATATATAACATGACCTTAAAAATGGCTAAAATGATTAATAGGGTGGCGCTAAAGAGAGGGATTTGCTATTATTTCTTTTTAAAACCAGTATTTTTTTACTGTTTATTTTATACACCAAATGTATTAGTTTATTTTGAGTTCAAATGTAGCGTTGTTATCAGATTTTAGAACGGGGACTATATATGATGCAAAGATTTGTTTGCTTAGGAAATTAACTACAACATCTCTGTCAAATACATATTGAACATGTTCTTTATTATTATTGTTTATTTTACTATTGTAATTATGTTGTCGGGGGATACAATAACCTAATGTTTTGCACATTAAGCATGTTTATAAATATATTTTAGTGGATGTATTTGCTCTGAATAGGAGCTCTAATATCCCTTTGTTACAAGGCTCCTCTTTCTTTTGCTTTGCAAACCTCTTTTTGTTAGATTATTTGTACCACAGGCTCCAAATGCCATTAGAGTCCCATTGTACTAGATGCTGTACACAAGGAAGAGACAGTCCCTTCCCCACATATCTCGTGACATGACAGATAAAGGGTGGAAAAAAGGAACTATTATTATCCTAATTTTACAGATGGGGAACTGATGGATAGGGAGACTAGGGTCTGATTTAAACTGGGAATTTACATTGGCATAGCTATAAAATCTCAGGGGTGTGAAAAATCTACACCCTACAGAGACATAGCTATGCCAACCTAACCCCCTGTGTAGACAGTACTAGGTCAATGAATGAATTCTTCCATCAACCTAGCTACCACCCCTCGGGTAGGTGGATTAACTACACTGACGGGAGAACCCCTCCCATTAGAGTAGATAGTGTCTACTCTGAAGTGCTACAACTGTGCTGCAGCTGTTGTAGTATTTTCAGTGCAAGTGTAGGTAGACCTACCTTTAGTGACTTAACCAAGGTCACAGAGGACATCTGTGGCAAAACTAGAACTGAAATGATCTCCTGTATCCCACAACTCTGCCTTAGGGACAGAACCACCCTCCTATTTGTGACATTACTCTTAAAACAGCCATAGTAAAATCATAACAAAAGGTGTACTATGTGCCTATTTCCCGTAGTAAACCTTCACAAAATGATAGTACAATGCTTCTTGTCTCTAGGTTGATACTTTTAATACTTTGTGAAAATCAAGAAGACAAATTAAAGAAGGGCAAGAAAAGTTAACTGGTTCAGAGATTAACGTTTAAAAAGCTCTAAAATTAGATCATCTAATTAGGACTCAGTTTCTGAGCATCAACATTTGGCAGAATTACATTTATGCAAACAAATTCAGTTGACATAGTTTAGAAAGACTGAATGATCTCTCACAGAAGAACTATGCTTAAATTTGAGGTTTATGTAAGCTTCCTGCCTAAGTTTACTCCCTGGTGTCCAACAGTTATTTAAAATCAAGAAAAATCAAAATGCTCCTATTCACAGAAAAATACTGACAAAACAACAACAACCACCAGAATTGGTTATCATTAAAGTAACAAGACTGCAAGATGATAAATTACTGTATCTTGATTTAAGATCTACATATTCCTTAATTGGAAACTTTAGGCCCAAACTACTGTGTGCTGTATTTTTTTTTTTTTTTTACATTTCATCTGTTTTTTCAACAATGTAATTTTTTTTTAAAACCAAGTTTCAATTGATTTTTTTAACTAGAAGCCCAGAAGAGGGGCCAACGGGAGAAGAAAGCTCTCCAAAGTTAATTTCAGGTTTTTCTTGACTCAATCTCTTTGGGTGAAATATCATAGATTTTGGAGGCTGTTTTACTTCACAATTACCATAGTCTTGAGTATTTGCAGGTAAGGGATTGTCTCTGCAGAGAGTTGGGGGGACGCTTTGTTGGACTCTTTACCATATGACATCACAGCTCCAAAATGGGCAGTTGGATACTGTAGTGGTGGGCACATTAGAAAAAAACAAGAATAGAAGGGATTTCCATTGGCTGGGTTCCTCGGCAGCTGCTCAATAGCAGCCATGAGGGTTGGGGGTGGGAGACTCAGTGGGAAGTCGTACAAGTCTGACCGTTTATTCTGCTCTTACACTGTGGAAATCACTAGACTCTTTGTGGGTTGTGTAGAGTGGTATGTCCCCAACTCCATTCCTGAACTCACTGGAGCTCCATCTTGGCATCACATATGTATCAACTGAAAAAGGGATAGCTTTGGCACTGAAAAAGGGATAGCTGTGCATTAATTCATAAGGAACAATCTTAGCCCAAGCATTATACAAATTATGAAAAATCTTTGAGATTTTTTAAGGAGTATCTGATTTATTTAAGATAAAACGTGCCAATATTTAAAATTAGATTGAAAGAACAGGCTATTAATTTTAATGTTAGTTGTCAAGGATGAATATAGGCAGAAATGATCTACAAACTTGTGTGTTGTATAATTTTTACAGCCTTAACTACATTTGGCTTCTGAGTATGACCAAGATTCCTTGGTCCCATGGAAACCACTTCCTTTGATTCTTCAAGTTCTTCATTTGGCAAGCAACAAAGGGCAAGGCTGTGCTGTAAACTTTACTCACTTGAGTAATCTTGCATAGCACTGTGATTTGGCTCTTTATATTTAAGTCTGTCTCACTGACAATCTTACTCTGCATAAGTAAGGATTTAGAATTTGGTCCTAAATTCTCAGTTCACTGCAGAACTTTTGATTCAGGAAGGTGAAAAACTTGTTCCTAGCATTGTGTGCTTTTGAAGGAAGGTTGAACAAGCACAGAAAGCGATCACTAGGCAAATTTGTGGCCCTGGCTGCAAAATTCACTGAAATTGTTATTTTAAGAATCTTGATTTGTTTGTTCTGCTGCATTTGAGCATTTTCTTCTTTTGGAGGCAGAGATGGTGCTAACAGGTTTGGAATCTGTGGCTACAGGTGGTTCCCACAGGAAGTGAAAGCACAGCTTATGCACTGTATTTGTGTTTCAAACTCTGTATTAGTAGTGTAAGCCAGCTAAACCAAACTTCTCACTAACACCTGAAATCTGTTGGCCCAGACAAGAGTTTCCAGGTCCTCAGAATTGACCCTTCTTTCCGACAAACTGGTGAGACTACAAAGAAGGCACTACAGAGAAGAAGGCTGGTCTTGTTGTTGAGGCCCTGGGCTGGGATGCAGTAGAATGAGGGTTCAATTTCTGACTCAGCCAATGACTTCCTGTGTTACCATGTTCTGTGCCACTGTTCCCCAACTGGGAACAATATTTTTTTTCTCCCACCCTTTGTCTATTTAGATTATCATTACATCAGAAGGGACTTTCTCCTACTATGGGGATCTGGATTTTAGTTGTGGTCGCTGGGTGCTCCTGAAATACAAATAAAAAATAATAGCATTAGGGGTGGAAACACTGTCCTTTCCTTCCTCCCTGTGGGTTGCCTAACTTGGTGTTTCTGTGGCTGCAACTAACTGGCTCCTTTTCTGCTTCTGCCATTTTCTGGTAGCTGCTCTTCTGCTTAAGGCTCTTTTCCTGGTTTCTCACATTCCACAAGGCTGCTCCCTAGCTTGGGCCTATTTTTGGTCACCTTCCCCACCTAAGGCAGCTATTTTCACTGACCAGGAACCTCCCTCATGCCCTTACAAGTTTCTTCTGGGTCCAGTTCAGTCCCTGCTGCCCCAATATAGGGACTCCCTCTATGCCTCATCACTCCTGTTCATCTACTTCCTGGTGGCATATGCTGCCCCCTTTTGAAGGGACTTTCTTTTACTGTCTCTGGCACTGTCCTCCTATTCATTTTCCCCCCATGTTCTGGACTTTCCTCTTCTTTCTTCTTCCATAGCTCATCTGCCCCACAATTTGTTCCTGCTCCTGTTACAGCCTCCCACCAGCCTGTCCTTATGCCACAGTCCTTTTTTAAACCTATATGAGGATAAAAATAATCCACAAGAAAGCACAGGAAAAGGAGGGACAAATTGTTATGTAGGAGGGGGCAAATATTTGCTTCCCAGGGATCCCCAGAGTAGTTGGAGCACTGACAGTAGGACTAGTGGTCAATGCCATTGCAGCCAGGCCAGGAACTAGGGACAAGAGATTAAAGCCAGCGTCAAGAGCAGGGTTGGAATAAAGCAAGAGTAGAGCTGGGAGGTACACAGGAGCAAGAGCAAGGCTGGAACAGAACTGGGAATATGTTTGGAGTCAAAACACCATGGGAGCAGGCAACAGTCTGTGGAGTCTATTATCACTATCAGTGAGAGGAGAGTTTCAAGCCATGAAGTAACACTGGGCAGGCTGAGCTGCTGTTTCTCCTGTAAGGCTCATATACCTGCCCTAAGAGTCACCAGGCCAGCTCCTGGCTCCTGGATTGGCTGGAGTTGAGCACAGGATTGACTCATCACTGCATGGGGATTAGGCAGGCTCTTGCTCAAGGATGACTCATTCCCTCATTCACACTTGCCCTCTTTGGAAGTAACAAACAATCTTTTGAAAATCAATGACCAGTTGGCAGGATGAATTGCTGGCAACCAAACTAGGAAAGTTACTTCTGCTCCCCCATTCTGAAATCTGAAAACTCTTCAGATGTACCCAGTGAAGTTCTCTTGATATGGGGTAAAAAATTGTAAAGTGCCTAACTCCTATTTTTACAAGTGACGTTGGCACTTCAATAGGTTTTGAAAAATTAACCCATTGTCACTATTGGCAATATATCTTTTATACAGCCAAAAAAGGGATTTTTACCCATAGGATGAAAGAGCAGAATGGGCGTTTTAAGGTAATTTTATTTCTCAATACTGAATTCAGATCTGGCTATATAGAACTTCTCTACCTTGGGACCTATTGAGCTGAATTTTTGCTTATCACAACCCTTAGGTACCATAGGCAAAGTCACTGAAAATAGTAATGCCAATATTTGGAGCTGACATAAATGATAGCTGTAGAATAAATGAAAGGTAGATGGCTTTATCGGATCCAATTACATATGAACTTGAACATCCTGAAAATAAACTACAATAAAACAGGAACATATTTATTAGGGTAACTTTTTATGAAATCCAGATAGACATATTATAAATATGAATAACAGAGCCTAGACATTGAAATTCTATTGCACTTTAAGAGCTATGAGTTAACATTCTGGCATGGGTTGAATGAGTTTTTAAATGATAATACAAAAGCATTTTTAAAATCTCATGTCCTGGTGCATGATTATGAAAGGATACTGTAGAATTACTGTCCCACTTTTATGAGCAGGGCCTTGTCTGAAACAGCTATGTGTGCACCCGAGAACAAAAAAGGGAAGGGGGAGGATAGATATGATTAAAGGTTGAGAAGATGACTCTTCTGGACAACGTGATATTGAAGCAGTTAATATGTCCATGTTTCAGTTCTAGTTTTTTAATACAATATATTCTTCCTTCTATAAAAAGAACCATAAAGGTTTCTTAATTTATAGTTTTGCATTATTCATATTTAAAGGAGGTTTACATTCAACTACATATAGCTAAAGTCTTATTTTAAGTATATTGTAGGCTTTTATTTTTATTTTTTTTTAATGTAGGTTTAGTTTCCAAAAAGACATAACCATACCAAACAAGGAAGGGAAGGGATAGCTCAGTGGTTTGAGTATTGGCCTGCTAAACCCAGGGTTGTGAGTTCAATCCTTGAGGGGCCACTTGGGGATCTGGGGCAAAATCAGTACTTGGTCTTG